TGTATGTATGTATGTATGTATGTATGTATGTATGTATGTATGTATGTATGTATGTATGTATGTATGTATGTATGTATGTATGTATGTATGTATGTATGTATGTATGTATGTATGTATGTATGTATGTATGTATGTATGTATGTATGTATGTATGTATGTATGTATGTATGTATGTATGTATGTATGTATGTATGTATGTATGTATGTATGTATGTATGTATGTATGTATGTATGTATGTATGTATGTATGTATGTATGTATGTATGTATGTATGTATGTATGTATGTATGTATGTATGTATGTATGTATGTATGTATGTATGTATGTATGTATGTATGTATGTATGTATGTATGTATGTATGTATGTATGTATGTATGTATGTATGTATGTATGTATGTATGTATGTATGTATGTATGTATGTATGTATGTATGTATGTATGTATGTATGTATGTATGTATGTATGTATGTATGTATGTATGTATGTATGTATGTATGTATGTATGTATGTATGTATGTATGTATGTATGTATGTATGTATGTATGTATGTATGTATGTATGTATGTATGTATGTATGTATGTATGTATGTATGTATGTATGTATGTATGTATGTATGTATGTATGTATGTATGTATGTATGTATGTATGTATGTATGTATGTATGTATGTATGTATGTATGTATGTATGTATGTATGTATGTATGTATGTATGTATGTATGTATGTATGTATGTATGTATGTATGTATGTATGTATGTATGTATGTATGTATGTATGTATGTATGTATGTATGTATGTATGTATGTATGTATGTATGTATGTATGTATGTATGTATGTATGTATGTATGTATGTATGTATGTATGTATGTATGTATGTATGTATGTATGTATGTATGTATGTATGTATGTATGTATGTATGTATGTATGTATGTATGTATGTATGTATGTATGTATGTATGTATGTATGTATGTATGTATGTATGTATGTATGTATGTATGTATGTATGTATGTATGTATGTATGTATGTATGTATGTATGTATGTATGTATGTATGTATGTATGTATGTATGTATGTATGTATGTATGTATGTATGTATGTATGTATGTATGTATGTATGTATGTATGTATGTATGTATGTATGTATGTATGTATGTATGTATGTATGTATGTATGTATGTATGTATGTATGTATGTATGTATGTATGTATGTATGTATGTATGTATGTATGTATGTATGTATGTATGTATGTATGTATGTATGTATGTATGTATGTATGTATGTATGTATGTATGTATGTATGTATGTATGTATGTATGTATGTATGTATGTATGTATGTATGTATGTATGTATGTATGTATGTATGTATGTATGTATGTATGTATGTATGTATGTATGTATGTATGTATGTATGTATGTATGTATGTATGTATGTATGTATGTATGTATGTATGTATGTATGTATGTATGTATGTATGTATGTATGTATGTATGTATGTATGTATGTATGTATGTATGTATGTATGTATGTATGTATGTATGTATGTATGTATGTATGTATGTATGTATGTATGTATGTATGTATGTATGTATGTATGTATGTATGTATGTATGTATGTATGTATGTATGTATGTATGTATGTATGTATGTATGTATGTATGTATGTATGTATGTATGTATGTATGTATGTATGTATGTATGTATGTATGTATGTATGTATGTATGTATGTATGTATGTATGTATGTATGTATGTATGTATGTATGTATGTATGTATGTATGTATGTATGTATGTATGTATGTATGTATGTATGTATGTATGTATGTATGTATGTATGTATGTATGTATGTATGTATGTATGTATGTATGTATGTATGTATGTATGTATGTATGTATGTATGTATGTATGTATGTATGTATGTATGTATGTATGTATGTATGTATGTATGTATGTATGTATGTATGTATGTATGTATGTATGTATGTATGTATGTATGTATGTATGTATGTATGTATGTATGTATGTATGTATGTATGTATGTATGTATGTATGTATGTATGTATGTATGTATGTATGTATGTATGTATGTATGTATGTATGTATGTATGTATGTATGTATGTATGTATGTATGTATGTATGTATGTATGTATGTATGTATGTATGTATGTATGTATGTATGTATGTATGTATGTATGTATGTATGTATGTATGTATGTATGTATGTATGTATGTATGTATGTATGTATGTATGTATGTATGTATGTATGTATGTATGTATGTATGTATGTATGTATGTATGTATGTATGTATGTATGTATGTATGTATGTATGTATGTATGTATGTATGTATGTATGTATGTATGTATGTATGTATGTATGTATGTATGTATGTATGTATGTATGTATGTATGTATGTATGTATGTATGTATGTATGTATGTATGTATGTATGTATGTATGTATGTATGTATGTATGTATGTATGTATGTATGTATGTATGTATGTATGTATGTATGTATGTATGTATGTATGTATGTATGTATGTATGTATGTATGTATGTATGTATGTATGTATGTATGTATGTATGTATGTATGTATGTATGTATGTATGTATGTATGTATGTATGTATGTATGTATGTATGTATGTATGTATGTATGTATGTATGTATGTATGTATGTATGTATGTATGTATGTATGTATGTATGTATGTATGTATGTATGTATGTATGTATGTATGTATGTATGTATGTATGTATGTATGTATGTATGTATGTATGTATGTATGTATGTATGTATGTATGTATGTATGTATGTATGTATGTATGTATGTATGTATGTATGTATGTATGTATGTATGTATGTATGTATGTATGTATGTATGTATGTATGTATGTATGTATGTATGTATGTATGTATGTATGTATGTATGTATGTATGTATGTATGTATGTATGTATGTATGTATGTATGTATGTATGTATGTATGTATGTATGTATGTATGTATGTATGTATGTATGTATGTATGTATGTATGTATGTATGTATGTATGTATGTATGTATGTATGTATGTATGTATGTATGTATGTATGTATGTATGTATGTATGTATGTATGTATGTATGTATGTATGTATGTATGTATGTATGTATGTATGTATGTATGTATGTATGTATGTATGTATGTATGTATGTATGTATGTATGTATGTATGTATGTATGTATGTATGTATGTATGTATGTATGTATGTATGTATGTATGTATGTATGTATGTATGTATGTATGTATGTATGTATGTATGTATGTATGTATGTATGTATGTATGTATGTATGTATGTATGTATGTATGTATGTATGTATGTATGTATGTATGTATGTATGTATGTATGTATGTATGTATGTATGTATGTATGTATGTATGTATGTATGTATGTATGTATGTATGTATGTATGTATGTATGTATGTATGTATGTATGTATGTATGTATGTATGTATGTATGTATGTATGTATGTATGTATGTATGTATGTATGTATGTATGTATGTATGTATGTATGTATGTATGTATGTATGTATGTATGTATGTATGTATGTATGTATGTATGTATGTATGTATGTATGTATGTATGTATGTATGTATGTATGTATGTATGTATGTATGTATGTATGTATGTATGTATGTATGTATGTATGTATGTATGTATGTATGTATGTATGTATGTATGTATGTATGTATGTATGTATGTATGTATGTATGTATGTATGTATGTATGTATGTATGTATGTATGTATGTATGTATGTATGTATGTATGTATGTATGTATGTATGTATGTATGTATGTATGTATGTATGTATGTATGTATGTATGTATGTATGTATGTATGTATGTATGTATGTATGTATGTATGTATGTATGTATGTATGTATGTATGTATGTATGTATGTATGTATGTATGTATGTATGTATGTATGTATGTATGTATGTATGTATGTATGTATGTATGTATGTATGTATGTATGTATGTATGTATGTATGTATGTATGTATGTATGTATGTATGTATGTATGTATGTATGTATGTATGTATGTATGTATGTATGTATGTATGTATGTGTGTATAGATGTATGTATCTTTGTATATATCTATGTATGTACGTATGTGCGCTCAAAATCTTGCTTCAAAATGAGCGGTTTGAGCGGTTTTTTTAGACGATTGCGCTCAAATTCTTGCTTCAAAATGAGCGGTTTGAGCGGTTTTTTTAGACGATTGCGCTCAAATTCTTGCTTCAAAATGAGCGGTTTGAGCGGTTTTGAACGGTTTATCTAAAAAAAAACACTCAAAAACCGCGCAAGATTTGAACGGTTTTTGAGCGGTTTATCTAAAAAAAAACCGTCAAAAACCGCGCAAGATTTGAGCGGTTTTTGAGCGTTTTTTTTTAGATAAACCGCTCAAATCCGTTCAAATCTTGCGCGGTTTTTGAGCGGTTTTTTTTAGATAAACCGTTCAAAATTTGCTTAAACCGCTCAAATGAAACAAGATTCTGAGCGCAATTGTCTAAAAAACCGCTCAAACCGCTCAAATCTTGCATCAAATTAGGTGAAAAATATCGACTCGGGCATATGATTATTCTTCTGTTTCTGAGTTTGCACAAAGTTTTGTGGCAGAGGCCCAACATAAGGGCAAATCGAAACTTTTCATTGGTATTTCTGAGTACTTTTTCTTGGAGTGGAAAAACTTCTCTTTTGCAGCATAGTTTCATTCAGTTTCTAGTCCAAAACAATTTTATAGGAAATTAACTTTTTTTTTACTCAGAAAGCTATATTCTTTACATGTTTACAAAGGGGTGTGTTAGAAGATAACATACAATTCATGAACGAATAGAAAAATAATTCAGTTAGCCCATATTTAGAAAAACTCCAGTGCAAAAACATACAAGAATAAATATATATTTTTTTTGCCTTCAAGCATTTGGAAAATGTAAGAATTTGCATTCGTACTTGAAGCTAAATTAAGATTCGGATGAAAAAATTTAGCTGATAGTCACTGAAAATTGCGGAGATTTTATCAATATGGGTTTTGCTACATTTGCTAAGAAGTAGAATTGCTTCGAAATTTCAGCGTCGAAAGCTATAAAATTTGAGATTGATCAAGATCAAGACCGCGACTAGGTCCAATCGTAACATTTCACAGTGTTTAGTGACAGGTGTTATTGTTGTGTTGTTGTTGTTTGTTCCATTCTACATTCTGGTCACTTCTGTTTTGTGCACTTGGTTCTTGTCACCAGCTAGAACTGGATTCTGAGCACTCAATGGCTTGTCGTTGACCTGAAAAATTAACCAGGGTTAAAAATGACGCACAAATTGGAGTTACTACAAATGAAAGAGATATGAGCTAAAAAGACTGACACACTAAACCTAAGGAAGGAATGATACGCATGGATGGTTGTCTCGGACCAAAATGTAACCCCACCCAGTTGGCAGTTCTTTGTGAAGAAAATTGTCTGGGCTTTTTTTAATCAATTTGCCATGACTATTTTTGTGCTATAGTCCAGCGCTGTAGTTCTGGTTTTTCAGTAACATGCTGAGACTAATTATTATTTCTAAATGCAGTTTTGGCTCACAAACAACTTGTTTAGCCGAAGAAATTTGAAACTGTCTCAAGTTTAGAAAGACGCTCGAGGAATGATCATATTAAACTAAAATTCCACCTGTCCTTTGAATATTCGCCTCCATAATTAATGATGTTTGCTTAACGTTACCATAATCGATCAAGACTAATAATGGTGAACCTCGCCTAAGTTCACAATTCATTTTTCATAGAATATTTTAGAGGAAAAATCCAATAAAAACGACATCTGAACTAATTTGATAGCCAGCCGTCATTGAGCTTATGATAAAAGCAATTATATAGTAAAAAATTGGTTATTAAATGATTCTTTAAAAACTTTTTCGATAAATTCTCACGCTCCTTAGAAAAAGTGCAGCCAAAAATCGTAAATACTTAGAATAAAAAAATCAACATGGCTATGTGGTTAAATGTTCAGCTTATAAAACGGCTCTATGAAAAAAGAAACGGCAAAAACAACTCCGAAAACCCAAAACCTACATCTATTGTCACACAGAAACAGATCTATTCTATCAATTAATATCTATCATCCATATCTAAGGTGAGGAAACTGAGATGTCTATGCTGTGACATGTATTTTACTATTTTTAGTTCAACGTGTCTGAAGTACGTCTAATTGGCACATTGGTACCACTTGGCCCGGGGAAGTGGGCCTAGATCTGGGCCCTTGATTAGCACCCTTAATTGCTTCCGGGCTGCCATTCCATGTTACTGATTTCTTTCTGTCTGTTTTACTCTGTCTCAGCTCTTTAGAGCTCAGTTCCATCTAAAGCGAGCTTTTTGGTTCAGCTATTCAGAAATAAGCAAACAAAAACAAACAATTCTTTCCCGCTTATTGCATCAACAACAATGCTGTTTTCGCAATTCCCATGAAAAACGCCGAAAATAGAAGTAAGCAAGCTCAACAAAGATTCGTTTTTTCTCCGTGAAAAAATCACTGCCCTGACTAAATTATGTAATTTGTAAAAACCAGAAAAACCTGAAATTTCCATATCATCTGCCTAATACATGCACAGCTTTGATTTTAAGTATTTGGACGAAGCCACAAAATTAGATTTAGATTTAAAGAATATTTTTATCAAATTTGATGGAAAATTAAAAACAAACGGAAAGCAAAAATACTTTATAGGAACTTCAATACTATTGTTTTGACTATTCTGGAAGATCATGACGGAAAATTTGTGCTCGGGGTGGTATCAATAAAGATATTGTAGTCTTGAATGGTTGTCTTTCATTCAATGATTGCTGTCAACAAGATGTATTTTGTTTATTACGCGTAAGCGGAGATTTAGTTGTTCCGACTTACGAAGAAAAAGGAATATTTATGCTTGAGTTGATATATTTATTCAGTCAGTTTTCGGCGATCGAAATACTAGTTTTTGACAAAAAAAATATACCCTATTAAAGATATCGACTCCCTGAAATCAATTATATACAGATATTTTACCTCCAACCAATTTTTGCAAAGTTCTGGGAGTTTGAAAATTGCCAATTTGGCCTTGCTCTGGGCTAATTTATGCGCAATTTGAGGATTTTTTCAGAATACTGAAAGATTAATGCAAAATATTTTTGCGTGTCAAATATGTTTGCGTGTTGCATTATCCCGCGAAACAAAAGCGTTCTAAATTGAATTGAGGCTATTTAATTGGTCATATTTTTTTGCCCGACTTAATTTTTATTTTTTGGTCATTGATTTTCCACAAAATTTATAGTTTTTCAATATTTTTTCCCAAAAAGTATTCGATATGGATTAAAGGCCAGTCCCAACATTTAAGGCTTTGCCCTGATATACGATCAGTTTTTTTTCGTTCTAGAAATTGGAGTAAGGGATGCTGTTTAGTCTATTTAATACTTGTTATATGCAAATTATATCATTTTGACTTTATAAAGCGAGATTTTGAAATATCAGAGTTTTTGAATTTTTTTTCTTTTTTTTCTGAAAATTTCATCAAATAATCTCCTTTGAACTACTCCATATAAATTAAAATGCAATCGGAACAATCAAGGCTTTGCTCTGATACGAGTTTTTTTGTTGGCCGATAAATTTTTCTGGATTTGAGCTCAAAACAGCAATATCTTTGAGATGGCATAAAAACTGCAAAAAATTGCTTTTTCAAAATGTCGGAAATTGGCTGAATAAGAAAACCACTGTAAGCAGGGGCGGATTTAGGGGTAATGACGGGTTCCCGCCTCCCTCAGGGATTCGACACCCCTTTGTACTATTATGAGGAATCCATTTTTGGCAACAGTCCCTAAAATTTTTCTAAAGGCGCCTTTGGCGCCAAAATATGCTAACTTTGAGGGAGGTGCACGCGCCGGAAAAGTGCAATTTTTTTTGGTAAAAATGTTTTTTTTCTTAGCTGAAGTAACCAAGGCGAAGTTGTCTATTTTAGAGCGGTCCACAATTGTTTATCCTACCATTCTCACAATTTGTGCTATAAATGTTATGTTATTTTTTTCAAGAATTTGAACAGCAATGTTCAATGTCGTCAGAATTGCTCCAAAACAACTTTTTGATTCAAGAACCAAATATATCTGAGCCAGAAAAAAAGATAGCCAACAGACAGTTAAAAAAGAGTCATAAACACAAAGGAATAGAAAAGAAATGAGTTCATTACGAGGCGAAACTGTGCACTGGATAGGAGCACAATTTTGTATGTTCCTGGATTCCAGAGACAAGTCTTTAAACACGTTTAAATTTTGTCGGAACGGTCAAAGAAAATGAAAGAACAAAAGAAGAACAAAGGGGGCGTCCTTGTCGCGGAATCCGCTTACAATGCACAAAATGCAAAGTTTGGCCTCGTAACGTTGGTTGTTGGAAAAAAATTTCGAAGAAAAATATATAACCTCAAAACTCTTCTAATTTCAAGACAATTTATGATTGACATTTAAGAAAAAATGAACCCAAAGTGAAAAAAAAATGGATCAATAGATAAATTTTTTATTCCGCTGGGGAATATGTAACTTAAATTGGTAATATGAACCCAATTTGAGAAAACTGGATCAAAAAGTAAAACTTAAGCAAAAGAATTTAATAGATGATCTCCTTGCGACTTCTTGCTAGCCTTGATAGTTCAAATGCGTGTCTGTACAAAACAGTCCCATACAAAACAGTTCAATACAAAACAGTCCGGAAAAGTATGAAAATGAACGAAAAAACAATCCGATACAAAACAGTCCTAAAAACAGTCCCAATTAATAATTGTTTTGACAAGCTGGCAGGCCTTAAACCGGACTGTTTTGTATTGGACTGTTTTTTTCCGTCATTACATGATTTTTCGGAGTATTTTGTATTTGACTAATTTGAATGGGACTGTTTTGTATATGCACCTTCAAATGTGATGTTAAACAAAAATCAAAAATCATAGCCTGCAGAAAATTACTTCCCGCAATAACACAAAACGGAAAACTCCAATCTAGAGTTTATTAGGCGTCTGAGAAACGATAAAGAGTAAGCGCAGCTAGTATTGGTTACGTTTTATTTAAGAAGAAAAGAAAGCAGAAGACATGATTAAAGAGTATAACTAACAAAACAGAAGGAAAACATTGTTCAGTTGAAGAAAATTGCTTACTTTTTTCTTTTTCTGTGCAATGAAAAATTATATGTTGAACTTTTCACTATTTTCGCTGTTTATAAAAAGTAAGCATAGCCAACAGACATTTGAAAAAGAGTCAATGAACGCTAATAAACACAAAAAATACAAATACTGACTTTTAATTAAAAAAAATCTCAACTTTCAAATGATTGAGCAAAAAAATAGACGGTTTTAAAGCTCCTTAGTGGCCTTAAATAGGAAATGAACTAAATTGAACAAAGAATTTTGATTCAACCTCAAACAAGTATATTTGAGCCTGAACAAATTCTTGAGTTTTTTTGAAAAAAAAAAGAACAGAAAAGTCATCTTAATATATATAAGAGTCTGAACTACGTTCCTTGAAACCTACAAAATTTGTCCAATACAATATTGCGCCCGTAAAAAATAAATATAGCAAGCACAAAAGCGCAAAACATCGCAGGGACAAAGCATAGCCAACAATCAAGTGGAAACGAGACTTCATTTTTGAAAAAAGCACAATTATAACAATTGAAAAAGGTGAATCGAAGAAATCATTGACTCTAAGTACGAGTACGAATTGTGATTATTAACCCCACAAACTGTACTCTCAAATTTACTTTTAATTAAAATATTCGTCTCTGTCCTCCAAAACAAACAGAAAGAGCAAAAACACACTTCAACAGTTAGAACATAGTTAGGATGGCCTCGAACAAAATAGCCGCCATCGGGTACTTCGTGCCCTCAGGCCGGGCTCTTTTTCCCTCGGGCATCTTTCAACTATGTTCTAACTACTACAAAGTCAATGAAAGCAAGTAAGCAGAAATTAAAAGCAAGCAAGCAAGTAGACTGATTGTTTTTTTTCGAAAATCTTACCGTTGGATTTTCAAAAAAAGATGCCCTTGAAGCTCCTTCACTTTCTAAGACAGTTCATGGCTAGCATTTGGTTGATGAAAGTAACCCAATTTGATAAAACTGGATATCAATTGGTAGTTTTTTATTTTGCTAAGAAATCTAAAAACCAAATTCCATTTTCGAAACTAGAAGTTGAGCACATTTTTGTGAATTTTACTCTTTTTAGAATGGTGAAGTCTTCCTTCCTTTTAACAAAGGGAGTGAAATGAATTTAATCATAATCAAAAAAGAAACGTCAAACCGCAAAAGTCATATTGAAAAAAAAGAACAAAATCATCGACACTTATATAAGAGTATGCGCTACGTTCATGACTCTGATCAAACTTCCATAAATATAGATAGTTGGTGAAATTGAAGCTTAATTGAAAGAAAAACTGTTACCGCCAGCTAATACGGTTGAACTTTGTCTTTGTCTTACTGTTGTCGACCAAAGTATAGTGTCCGGTGAGCGGCGCAATTTTATCAGTTCTCCTTGCGCCTTGTTGTTTGTCATGATAGCTCCAATTCGAGTTAAAAATAATTATCAATGAAATCATGAAAAAATTTTAATAATTCAAAATGAACAAAAATTCTTTGAAAATTTTGATCATTTCTTCAATTTTCGAATTCCATGTAAATTCCATGACATTCAAGTATTTTATACTCAATTAATTTGTGCAAAAAGCATTTTTTTAAAATAAAAATAATTCAAGTAGTGAAATTTGGGCCAAAAAACAGTTTTCTTTCCGCTGGGAAATGTATGCAGAGCCAACAGACATTTGAAAAAAAAACGGAAAAAAGACTTGTTCTTTCAAAAATTTTCAATTTTTTAAATTCCAAAAACTCATAGATAGCCTTGAAGCTCTTCGAATTTATAGAACAACACATGATTGACACTTTTTTTTAAAAACTATTCCAATTGGAGAAAACTGGATCAATAGGTAAAACTTTTATTTCACTGAAAAATATGATAATTAATTTCCATTTGCCATTTTTTTTTGGCTTTTTCAAAAATTGCCATCCTTTTAATGATGGAAATGCACTGAACTAAAAAAGTGATCACAAGTAAAACCGCGAAAAATCAAAAGTTAGCCTGAACAAGTTTTAAGAGTTTTTCTCGAGGAAAAACAAACAAAAAACGTCAGCAAGACCTATATAAGAGTATTCACTACGTTCATCACTTTTAAAAAAACTGACTTCAAAGTAAACAATGTATGACTTTAAAGCTCCTTGCTTTTCACGAAACAAATTGTTGACAAGTTTCTATATAATTGACTGCTTTCATTGACTCCAATTGATAAAATCAATTTTTGAAACAAAAAATTATTCACGTCTATTTCCTGACATGTGCACTTTCATAGTAAGAGCGCGTAATTTACTTGTTTTTTGGCCCATAAAGTTTAGTGGAACTTAAAAAGAACTGAAACATCAAATTGCAAGTTCAGTGAGTATCAAAAAAAAAACGCGCAAGTTCAGTGAGTATTTTCATTATTTTACCGGAATTTCAAACAACAAAGACAAGAGACAGTCAGAAAAAAAGCCTTAAAAGCAAGAGACAGAAAAAAATTACTGACTTGTTTTTTTTGAAAAAAAGTTCACCTTTCGAAATTCAAATAAAAAAATATGGCCTTCAAGCTATTTGATTATCAAAAACATTTTTTGATTAATTTTTTTTATAAAAAATTAACTCAATTTGAGAAAAGTGAATTAATATGAAAAATGTTTATTTCGCTGGGAAATCTGAAAATTAAATTCCACTTTCGAAACTAGAAGTCGAATTTGTTTTTCGTGACCTTTACGCTTTTGCTGTTCGATAGTGGAGGTTGCCTTTTTTAACTGAGAAAAGTAGGTAAACTTAGAACAAAAAATACCATTTTAAATTTAAAAAATTCACAATCGTAAGCCACGTAAAACAAAAAATAATACCACGATTGTAAATAAAAACCACGAAAAAAATTTGAGCCTAAACACGTATTTAAACTTTTCCTGAAAAGAATCATCATGAACTATATAAGAGTCTGAACTACGTTCACCGACTCTGAATGAATGCTAATACAAAATCCATCTGTGCAGTAATGCAAACTGGACCAGGGGTAGTGATGTTCTGGGCAGCTGAAACCTGAGAGAGCAAACGGTGTTGGTTTTTGATAAAGATTCATGAAGAAAGGAAAACAGAAGACATAATAAAAGAGTACAACGATAGAACGGAGAAGAAAAACATTGTCAGCCCTCAGAAATTAGCTTACTTTTCGTTTTTTCTGTTCAATGAAAAAGTTTATGCTTTCGGCATTCAAAGTTTTTTTTTCCAGAACTGTTGACTCAAAAAATTACCCCCGTTTTGTGATTGCTGACATCGGGTAAAAAGAACTCACATTTTTCTAAGATTTTATTTGTTTTTATTCTAAGTAACAAAAAATCTTGAAATTTTTTCGAACTTTTTTAACCAATTTTAAATTGGATTTTTTTTCGAGAGCCAGTGCTCTAAGACTCCAATTTTTTTCAGAGGGTCAATTATTTATGAGAAAAAAGTATGAATACTAATGGTTTTTTGATTCATCAACCGCAAGATTGAGAGGCGGACACAACAGCCGTTAGAGTTGTATGTGTAGTTTCGATCATACGATGGAATACTTTGTCGTGAGTGAAAATGGTTAAAATTAGTGTGAATGTATTGAAAGTGAGTGGAATGCAATGCTAATACATGTGGAATGATGGGCAAGCATGAAGGTATAAGCGTACCACGTTAGTCCATTCTTCATTCTCTGATTTCTTTACCTTGTCTGCCCCTCTTCCTCCTACTTCTCCTCCTCTTCCTTCTCCCCCTAGCTCCGATGAGTCATCGTGGCCTGGCTTATGGGCACTGGAATAGGGCGCGGGACCCAGCCAGCTCATCATCACCGGAAGGTAGATCAACCCATGGTACAAGCCCAGCACACAGACCAGGAAGAAAATCTGGAAAAAATCGGGTCTCTTTAACTATATCCCCCTCGGGTACCTAGTAACGAATACCCCTTCACCTATAATGAAATAAATCAAGCGTATTAGAATTTTATACCTAGTAGCGAATCTCTCCCCTTTATGCAAAAGGGGGATATAGTTATAGAGATCCAAATAATCAAGGTGAAAAGAGGTTTTTAATGGTCCACCCCTCATTTTTTATACGCAATTCAGCGGCATTAACGTTGATTTTACGAGATTCTATATAAATTATGTCGTTTATGAGGTTGTAATTAGGTTTTTTATTCACTTGCGATTTTCATAACAATTGGCATGTGAATTTAAAAACCCTATTACAACCTCATATCTGTTCCCCATGGAAGACACACATTTTGAAAGATCTAGATGGTGAGTGTTGATTACCTTAAAGAATGTCTCGAAGACGAATGAAGTTGATATAGCAAGGGGAGCGAATGCGAGGAACGTACTGAAGCCTCCACTGAACACTGCCGGTCCAATCTCCGTGAGAGCGGTGCGGGTACGGGCTACGCACAAACAAAAGTATTGGCATCACTTATAATTTAACATTGGTGAGATTTGATTCATACTCCAGGTCGTAATTGATGAGTATTTCTTCTCCGATGTTTACTTCGAGTTTACTTCGATGAAAATTTGAGCATCTATTTCTTCTCCGATGAAAGTTTGAACATCTATTTCTTCTCCGATGAAAATTTGTACATCTGCAGTTATTATTCCGATATTTAGGTTTAAGTTTTGCCACTTGAGCTACAACTACAAAAAATATTCAGAAAATTTTGTAGGAATCAACACCTACATAGTCATAACTACGTGATTTTCTCGAAGTTCAAATACTCTCGAACTAACTGAGACAGCGTGTAATCATGACTCACTCTTTCGGGATCCGGCGGTGGCCATGAATGCGTGTCCGATGTGGGCGGCGTAGTCCACTGCCAGACCTATGGCCAGGATGAGGTTGATAGTGGACACTGTGTTAATGGTCACTCCCCAGAAGTGGATTAAACCAATCACATCCACCTAAAAATTAATATATGAACATATCATACGTATTCAAAATCAAATATTTCACAAACTGCATTCATAAACAAATATATTTATATATACAAATCTAGGATTTTCTCAAGGGGGTGGGGATTTTCAAAAAAATTTCAAAATTTTTGTCGACCTTTTTTTAGGTCGACCGAATTGATTTTTTGAGTTCTCCCAAAGCACTAAAAAGTCCCTGTTTTGGCCAATTTTTTGCGCGGCAGGCAAAATTTTGGGCGTTTTTAGGCACTTTTTGGAAAATTTTGACCAAAAAAATTGCGTTTTTTCGGCGCGCTACACCCTCAGAGTTAGTATATATTGGCGCCCAGGGCGCCTTTAGAAAATTTTTAGGGTCCGTCAACAAAAATGAATCCGTCAACGAAAATGCAAGCATATTTTGCCTCGCTTAGCATAGAAGGAGATTTATGGTAAAATTCGAATCTTGATTATTCACGGGAAAAATTGACTGCCTTTTGACTGAGTCTTAATCAAAAGCGATACAGTAATATGACAGCATTGAAGTTTCACGACCAGCAAACAAGCCTCATGCGCTGTGACGCGGCATCGTTTCAACATTTTCAGACGACCGAAAAAAGATTATTTTCAACTCTAAATAAATCAAAAGCTTTTTGCCACCCCAACAAGAAAACAAAAAAAAAATCGACAGCAGGCTGATTGATTGTCGATATTTTCATTTTGGGCAAACTACTAAAAGTTGTAAGTTTTCTGACTTTTTGTTAAATACGTGAACTAATTGGTTGAATAATCGTTCACTAACCAGCGTGAACACCACGCACGAGAGCACCATGACCACTATGGCGATGTTGGCGATGAGCAGCATACACACCAGGAATACCACAATGAACGCCATGCCTATGTTGCGGAACAGCTCCAGATAGATCACCTACACAGTAAACACACTACATATAGTGTAAGACTAGTCAGGTGCGCTCGGAGTGAAGTAATTTAGGTTTTAGTCGAATCCACTGGCTATAGAACTTCTCAAGTCTGAAAATTTCCAACGTTACAGAAAACCTCACCCAATTTTTTCTACTACTTGCGCTTCATTTTACGACAGGCTTCAGCTTTTCTGGAATGGCTTTTTGTGCAATTTGGTGGCTGTAATTGAGCAATTTTAATGCTCTAGAAATGACCTTGGACGCAATAGGAGTTGTAGCTGAGTTCTAATGTACTGACCTTGTCACCTTCCCAGACGAGGAATGCGTCCGAGTAGACGAATGCATTGGTGTCCCCGAACCCCATCGAGTCCACCACGTCCCTGGCCCCGTCCATAGCGTCTATCCTCTTAGCCGAGTTGGGCATCTTAGAGAACACCAGGTACATGCGCGAACTCTAGAAGCAAAACACCTCAATAACCACGCACAGAACTCTTTAAATTTTTTATTCTCATCAGTGAATAAATGGGTTGGAGTTTCGAGGCCCACCGATGATCAGTAATCGTTGCTCAGTAGGCGACAACGTTTCTCAGTCCAGAAAAACCACATGATTGCCTGTTTGTAGTTTTTAACCAATGGTGATTTGCTGAGAAGAACTAAACAGCTCAAATGATGACTAAATTGTACATTTCTGACGACCATTGTTTGTCTTTCACTAGGGAGCATGCGCCAAAAATTGCATTTTAAATTGTCTCAAAAGCTTGCAAGCATCGCCCCTTGCAAAATTATAGATCCACCATTCTTGTTGGAAATCCGGATTTGACAAAAAATAGTGCAACCTGTAATAAGGGTAAATTACTTAAACCTAAAGGTGTATACTTAATTTTGTGTTTGAAACAATAATTGGTTTGAAAACAATTTATCATTATTATGATTATTAAATATTCAGTTTGAGACGCTGTTAGCTTTTACTTTGATAAGAGTAAACGAAATGCTTGCACTAACTGTGATATCATCTTGAGCCGCGTTGAAGTTGACTTCCGAGGCGTATGATTGGCCATCGTTGGCCAGGTAATACTTCAACAGATAAACGAAGTTGGGTTGGTTGTTTGGTAGTTCTGAAACACTCCAATTTACCAACTGACTGTATCTCTCGATTTGTATAATCATTTAACTAACTGCTATAATTGGGATAAAGTATGGTTTGACAGGGTTGCAAATTGTGTTTGTTTCGCCTGCATCTAAGTTCAAGCGTCAGTATTCATCTATCCCGGTCCGACGTGCTCGACTTATATTCGGACTTTGAAAGCCTAGCAGGTATGTTTCTGTATATTTCTGTATGTTTCATTTTTATCGTTTTTTGACAAAATTTTTTTGAATGCCCAAAAATCGATGCATATCTATGCGGAGTCAAACAAATGAGCTTTCACAAAAATTTTTTTTCAAAAAAAACCGATGAAATTGAAACAAACAGGAACTTGGTCGTGTAAAACAAAAAAACAAAAAGTATGATTTAAAGTATCCTGACAAAATGCATAAATCTCGATTTTTAAAAAGCGTTTTTCTCACTTTGTTTTAATTTCAGACAAAGATGATAAGGAAAGAAGTTACTTAAAGTTTTCAGATGAATTAACATGGTGCAATTTTGCTGTGCAAAATTCGGTCTTAAAATTTCACCCTAAAAACGGATCAAGTTATGCTTTTCTTTTTAATCAGGAAAAACGCAAAACCTTAAGAGCAAGAAAAATTCAGCAAGACCAATTAAAGAATTTTCAGTACGTTCATTACTTTTAATCAAATTTTGACAAAACCTCATCAAAATGATTGGACTGAGCTTCTTAGGTGGCCCAACAAAGTTGAAGAAAGGAAAATTTTCCTAACAATTTTTATGAATTATTATTTTTCGTTTGATAGACAAAAATTGTCATTTTTACTATAAAAACACCTAACTTTTTGTTAAAAAAAAACTTTTTCAACATTTCCCGTGTTTTTTGTTTGTGACATATTTTAGACAAAACTTTTCCCACAAAATCTGCAAGGGGTATTTCTGTGGTAGATCTTAATAAGTTGCAATGAAGACCGCGGGTTATCGCAATAAAGCTAAATTTGGGAGCTTTTCGGAAAATGTTGACCAACACTTTCTAGAGCACAAACTTAATTGAATATTATACAAATTCTGTGACAATAATCGTTAATTTTATAATAATATTTAAGTCTGTCCGGATAATTTAAGTCAGCACTGTATTTATAAACTAATATAATCCAATAATTTTAAACATTCTTCAGTTTTTTGTATGATATATACTCATCGTTATTTTAATCGGATGTAAATTGCTTAGAAACTTAAATATTGTTATAAAAATTAACGATTATTGATTGTCACATAATCTATATAAAATTCATTAAAATTGAATGTTTAAGCCTGAATTTAGATGCGAGCAGTGTTTGATTTTTAAGCAACGGAGAGAGGTTTTCAAATTTTAGCACCCTGTGGGCTGACTCGAACTTAGTTCAATTTCAAGTACAATTTTCACTAACTTCTGCTAAATTTAAGGTAAAGTTTGCGCTCTAAAAAATGTTGGTCCACATTTTCCGAAAAGCTCCCAAATTTAGCTTCATTGCGGTAACCCGCGATCTTCATTGCATCTTATTTACATCTACCATTAAAAAAACACTTGCAACATTTGTAACGCATGATGTGAAATACTTGTTGTTGCATCTTGTCTGGTCGTGATGTTTGCGACCCCTCCACTGTAACTTGTTATCCAGGAGTCGAATGCAGTGAGGTAAAAATCCGGGCTGTTGTCTGCCACGCCCTCCACTTCATTCCTCAGTCGGTCGGGAAGACCCAGCAGAGTGCCGTAGTTGTCGTAGTAGTCGATGTCACCTGTAATTGGAAGCCAAAAAGAATGAGTTGGTAGCTCGCACAAAATGAACAAAGTTCAATTCTAAATGAAAACAGTCGAGCAAATTACTCATCATATCAATCTACTGAAAATGATTTATGACGGGAAGTATACTAGAAGTAAGAAGAAGTGTGTGTGTGTGTGTGTGTGTGTGAGGGTGGAGTGCGTTTGCCTGTGACCATAATCTTCGTAGAACAAAAATCGCACATACATTCAAATGTACTTATATGTGCGAATGATTACGAGGAGTGCTGGGCTATTTGATTTTTTAAATTTTGCCCATCATTCTTTAAAAAAGACTCAAAGGGGTAGAAATCGATCGTGACTTCTACGTTGTTTTGATGTTTCATTTAGGACTGAGCACATATATTTTTTCAAATAGTTTGATTAATTTTGGTTTCAATCAAGCTAAGAACATTAACAATTTTGACAATAAAACATCTTAGTACAACGGCCTGTTTTTTTCTATGAGGAGTACATGCATTCTTCAGTTTTTGATTAACGCATTGAAAAGGGGATAAATGTTGATCTTCAAATAAGCAGTACTTTGTTTTTCTAAACACATTTTTTTTGTTAGCAGTAGCTGAAAATCACTCACATTGTAAAAAGCGTTTAAATTTTAGATCACATGTCAATCAAAAAATGTTAAGCAACAGAAGTTAAAATTTTACTTTTTCCATTCAGACTCAATTTTTTCTCATAAAAGTAAGAGGCAAGGTGTGTAATTTGGTTTACGAGCAGAGAAACCGGACCGCAAATGGCTATTTTAGGAGTACGCTAATAATCTAATTTTTTGAAGCTTAGGTGAAAACTTTTTCTTGCTATTCTTAACAGGGCGGGCTCTAAGATTTTCTGAAATAACGAGTTTGCAATTTGCAATTTTTTCATTCATAAATTCTACAGAATGTTATCTGATTTATCTCAAAACACTAAAAGGGCATATTTTGCAAACTTATATCTAGGCCACTCTTTACTTCTTAAAAATATCTGCCAAAGAGCTCTATTTTCATAACTGCGAATCCAAGGTTAGTTATAAAGTCCTCAAAATAATTTACAAAACTAGACTCTTTTGTCCTTGCTCATCATCTCGAGACCCGTTTTAATCAAAATTTGCTGCCAAAAAGTCTGGAAGCGAAAAAACATTGGACCTAAAACAGCTTCAAGCTGATTTCCCACTATTTTATGGTATTTTTTTTTAGGTAGGACCCTGAACGAGGCGCAGATCTAGGGTTTTCTCGAGGGCTCTTATCTTAGAAAGATCCTATTTTTGAGTATTTGAGACAATTTTCAACACAAATTGTATTTTTCAGTGCGAGCTTCATCATCCCCCTTCTTCCTCAAATTTTGTATACATTAGAGGCGGATAAAAATGGATGTACTCTTTCAACATAGCTGTACCACATGATGGACCCTTTAGGTAATGTGGGGGTCGTATTTTCGACAAAAGGATCTCCCCCCCCCTCCCATTAAATTTGATACTGCCCTGAACTCTAATTGTCTATATGGTGGAGGTGGACTAACCGAAGAATACATATGCATCATCTCCGTCTCCTGGAAAGTATGTTTCGGACTGTTCCAAATAGTCGTACAGATAGTTCCCTTCAGGGATGAACCAGTTGGGGTCGAAGTCCTGTTCGATCATGGCGACGCCTGCAATCCCAGCTCCCAGCAGTCCCACTGTGACCAGCACTACAATGATCTACAGCAGCGAAGAGATGCGGTAAGTTATTCCAGCAAACTGACCCACTCAAAAGAGCTGAACAATCTTACCATACTTACAAAAACGATAACTCTTTCAAATTGTGTTTCAAATTTCTCTTTATCTTTCAAACTTTTTTGAGCCTGAAGCTTCAGCATGCATTTTCAACTGCATAAATTTTTTGGCTTATATCGAGCGTTCCTGAATTCGATTAAAATATTTCAGGAAAATTTTCTAAGCTTCAAAACCTGTTTTGAAGCAAACGTTTTGAGACAAACTTTGAAGTTTTGAAAGAAACTTTGAAAGTTCTCACTGAAAGAGAAAAAGCATAACACAAGTCTTGGCTAATGCCCAAAATGCGCTAGTCAGCTTGCTGCTCACCTTGATTGGCAAGAAAGTGAGACCTTTGGCAACATAGTTGCTGAAAATCTTCTCCGAAATGGAAGATTCACTACAACGACTGGGTTGGTAGTCATCTCCCAAGGGCACACAGCAGCAACACGCATTCCTTCCATTGTCCACCCTTCTCTGATCGTAGACGAGAACTCCCGAAAAGAGGAAGAGAGTCAAGAAGAAAATGCCCAGAATTCCCATAGCCGCGAAGACACAGAACGAACGTAAAGCTGGAATGATCTAAAAGCACACCTGTTATTTCAGTTATCTTTTATCTTAAGTAATGATTACATAGTAGAGCGCATGTTATGTAACATACGGTTGTTGCTCCTATCAGGAAAGCCAAGAAGTCGGTCAGTGACGTAATCAGAATGGAGACTCCAGCGTGTTTGGTCATGTATCCGATTCGCTCGGGCAGAGAAAGTGTCTTCTCTCGAGGGGTCAGATTCTCCCAAGCAGACACGAATACAAACATGTCGTCAACGCCAATACCTGAACAAGCGGCTAAATAAGTTGCAAGCGGAAAACACTTAGAGTCTAAGGCTTTATGCTGATAAATTGTCCAAGCAGCTGTACAAAAATGAATGCTGAAAAATTAGGTGTCCATAAATTTATTCTTGTTTCTGGCATAGCTCGCCTTGTTTTATGTTCCGATCAAGACGAAGGGGTACGATGAAGTGGCAGGACTAAATGAAAGACAAGGCGACTTGAAGGCATTATGGCGTAGTGCTTTTAACCCCATTTTAAGGACTTCAGAGAAAATGCATAAGGAGTCAAAATAAATTCACCTTATAATCCAATTGGTTTGATTTGGAGTCCAAAAAAAACCATTTATAAAAATGTTTCTTTTTGTACATTAAAAAATGCAATGAAAACTGTGACCAAAATATTTTGTGCCACTTGCACCGTGACTGAATATCCTTTTATTCCGACTAACCCCCTTGAAGGGAGCTTGAAGAAGCTATGCGGTTGGAAGATTTTTTCCCCGACGGTTTTTACTATCTCAAAGGAAACCTGTTCGGCGTCAATAGTTATATCGTGTTATGGCCCTATTGGGTGTGAGTTGGATTCAAAAACTGTATAAGCAAGTTGGGGTCGAGAAAAACTGTTCTGAACTATTTGACTTTCAGACTAAATTATACAATTGGTGCTGACCTCCCTACTTTACTTAATTCTTTTAACATGGCCGACAGACAATTGGCAAAGAGTCAATGAACGCAAGGAAACATAAAAAAAAGTCGCTTGTTTTTTGGAAACTGTTCAATTTTGTATTTCAAAACATAGCCAACAGACAGTTGGAAAAGAGTGAATGAACGCAATTAAATAAAAAAAAATGACTAGTTTATTTTAAGAAAATCTCGACTTTCGAATGTTAAAGAAAAAAATAAATGCCCTTCAAATTCTTTGAGTTTCAAGAAGAGCTTATGATCGGCACTTTTTTGATAAAAGTAATCCAATTTGAGAAAACTGGATCAAAAGGCATTTTTAGGAAAACCTAAAAATTAGAATTCACTTTCGAAACTAGAAGTCGACCAGGTTTTTTGCGACTTTTATATTTTGGCTGAAAAAATCAAAAATCAAACCGTGAAAAATCAATTCTGAGCGTGAACATATTTTAAGGCCTTCTGAAAAAACCGAAAAAAACATAGTCAGCTAATAGTTGGAAAAGAGTAATAAACGCAAGAAAACTGAAAGAAATTTTAAAAGCAGATGGCCGTAAAGCTCTAAAGCTCTTTGAATTTGTAAAACAATTTATGATGGGCATTTTTTGTAAAAATTAACACAATTTGACAAAACTAGATCAATACGCAAAACATATATTTTGCTGAACTTTAAAAGAAAATACAAGTCAAACCGCGAAATATCAAAATTGGCGTCAACAATTTTTAAGACTTTTTCCTGAAAAAGAAATCAGCAAGACATATAAGAGCACTCACGAAGTTCATTACTCCTAAACAAAAAATCATCATAACCTATTGATACTTAAAAACTCGTATGTTAATTTGGCGATTTCTACCTCCAATTTTTGCAGTTTTGTTTAGTTTGTTTCGGCTTTGACAGATTTCGTCCCAGACAGCTCTCGTGCCATTTCAATTTCAACAGATTTCGTAGCGTACACAGATTTCGTCCCACAATCTTGGATATGAGACGAAATCTGTATGGCGCGAAATTTGTTAACTAAATAAATAGGACAAAATCTGTAGTAGGACGAAATCTGTGCCAATCGTTTGTTTCATTTCAGGTTAAAAAAATCATTCAAAAAACAAAAAAAATTTTAAAAATCATTTCAGTCATTTCTGGACTCGGATGCAAAATTAGTTATTTATACACAAAAACTATAGCTCTGTCTTTGGAAGTTTCGTTTATGGTAAAAAAAAAGCTTCAACTTTTGCTTCAGTCTCTGAAAAAGGGTGTCATGAGTGTTACCCAGTAGCAGAAAGGGTAGGACCGAGTGAATGGGTCCATAGTCCATCTGGAAAAGCGAGGCGGAGGAGAATGAGATGGAGATAGACAGAACCACGCACAGAATGCCCGTCATTGCCAGATAGACCTACAAATAAACAACCTCTCAAAATTTGATTGAAATATGAAAAAGAAAAACAGTTCATGTTACTAATATATAAAAATTGAGAGTAGCTGGAAAACTGCCAATAGGGTAGCTGATTCTGAAATCAAAACTGCCGCCTGAATAAACATTTTTCAGATACACGAGGTGCAGTTTGCATCAAAATGACGGAATTGTAGTTTCGTGGAAGAAATCTTTATAGAAATCTTTATTAATGTTATCTTTAAAACTCCTAAACTCGTTCCGTGTTACCTTCTGGTCCTTGCAGTTGAATTTTCCGAGGGTAGTGAAGAGGAACAAGATGACGAGGGCGTATCCCGCGAACAGGAACGGCACATCGTCCTGCACAGCCCCACTGCCGATGTCTGTGGGACTCCTGAATGCAAACCGGTACACCTGCAGACCATCCACGCTCGTCTCACACACATCCAGGAATTTAGACTCCCAGTCCTTCACGTATGGCTACAAACACGCAAACATTTCATTCCGTAGAGTCAGTCTTGTATCTTCTTGAACAGTACCTTCACGACTATGAAAGTTGAGTATTTTTTGGAACAACCTTTCCAAATCACAACTTCATATTCTAAGTTAATATGAGACTGTTTCGGCATTTCATTTTTTTGTTGTGGTAAAAGGAGCAGAGAGAGCTGAAAAGTTATTATCTGTGAAAAAGTGTTGTGTTTCAAATGAAAAGACAGAGAGGATACATAAATGGGATAGATAAATAGTGATGGGCAAAGAGAACAGATGCTTGTATGTACTTTTGAAGACTGGACATTTCCCTTAAATAGTTCACAAAAAAAGTAGTATCTTCTGTTGTCATATTTGAAATATCTAGACTTGAAAATACAAATAGGTTACATTTCAATTTTTTTTCTCATCTTTCAATGATTTGTAGCTCGTACCTCTGAGTCGACCAAGTCCACTGTGGCCACATAGTAGGTCATAGTCATGGCACTGGCTCCAACAATGGAGGGTGACGATCCATCAAGAGCACCAAGCAGATTATCCAGGCTCATCGGTTGATTCGTTTCGAGGCTGAAATGTTATAATAAGACCATTCAACGGTATCTTTTTAAACTAGATTTTTTCCGGGCTAATTTAGGAAAAACCTAAAGTGGCTGAAATTTTTTATTGTTAGTAAACTATGTATATTTTCGCATAGTTTGCTGCCTATAAAAGATTTCAGCCAGATTAGAATTTTCTACAAAAAATTAACCTAGAAAAATTCAAACTTTTCTGTTTTTTATCAAAATTCAAACTTTGTTGTATAACATCTTTACAATTCGTTCATCTTCCTCAAGTATTTATTTGAAACTGTTTTCATAAAAATTTTTTATTAAAAAAATCGAATGACGTCAAACTTGAATTCATCCGCGAGCAGTAACAGCGGGTACAAAAAACGCTGACCAAATTAGGAAAGCGGTAGTTAGTCTTTGAACCGCTTGAAGACATTTTTATTAAAAATTTTTAGCAAGTAGCGTTTAAGTATATTCAGTTTTACTTCTGTAAGGGAAATTCAAGAAGAAAACCTCTCAATTAACAATGAGCGATCATGTCTCAATGTTCGGTTTCTGGTAATCATCGAAAAACGCGGAAGATTCTTCCTCTCATCCCTGAAATTGTAGTTTGCGGCAAGCAACCATTCGATCTTGTGTCTCGCTCAATATACACACTGACGGTTGACTTCAATCAAATAGAACATTTTTTTTGCTCTATGAAAAAACATTTTAAAATATAAACTATCAAAACTATCAAAATTATATGACCCTATATATACCGATAGTTCAATTTTGATTCGACCGAAGCTTTCGCTTAACGGTTTCAGTGTGTTCTGATCTGATTTTATATCATTTAGTTGAATACTCTTTTAGCAGGTTTTTTCTGACATTGACCTTCGGAGTGATCGTTCTCACTTTTTATATATTGCTTAAGCTTTTTGCTAACCTTTTAAATTAAGCATTAGATTTTTTATTATGGCGCAGTGAGGCATTATTGAATCTGGCGTGAGAAGAATTCCACAATTCTGGCAGACTCCTACAAAAGACCTTCCAACTATTCCAAATAACAATCATAGCCAAGGTGAATTTCGATATAGATCTTCTGCTCAATCCGATGGAAGGAAATCCTTTAACTACTCCGCCTATCACCTCCGGTTATAGCGAAAACGATGACTAATCTAATCTAAAGGTTAGGACTATTTACGACGAAGACACCAAAAAAATTGAAGAAATTGTTAAATTTTTCCCTGGCATATAAAAACCAGGTATGCCCAATTATCCAAGTCGACTCTGCCAGCAATGTTAATTTTTTGAAAATAAAGGATTTTACAAGAACTTAAATTGAGAGATCTTTAGGCCAAAAAAGCTGTGGATCAAGCTATCAACGGCTTTTTATGTGTTTTACTGACACAGCTATTAAAATAATTGGAAAACCTACAGTTGAAATAATCTTCAACGAATAAAAAAGACTACTATTTTCAAGAAGAATACAAAAAAATGTTCTCGGAACTGACAATCTTCCAAAAGTTGAACTCCAGGAACATTTCGTTACCACATATCGACAGAAACCAGAAACTCAGTCATATTTATGTGATCCTCCTATTCCTTGAAATTTCTTTTAAAATTTTTTTAAAATTTTGTGTCTTTGGATTGTAAAAATATATAATCATATGAATTTAACATATTCCCAGGAGTCATAAGATCTCACTTAACTAAAGCGAAAAAGAGTACCTGTTCATTTATTAGGCTCAATTAAAGACAACATTTTTTGACTAAGATCCGAAGGACACGTTATTAGCCTTAGTGTCATAACCTGCAAAAAATCATTCAAACTAGATTTACGCTCCAATTTTATAAACAAAAAGACATACAAGAACAAATATCGAAAGCCATGCGTCCAGGAGCAGCTGGTAAAAAAATTTCAACTAAATTTATAGAACGCCTATAGTCAATTGGCCCTCGACCATTTTAAAAGCAAGCAATGCCCGTTTAGCTTCGTTGGTGGCAATAAAATCGGTACTTGTCAAATCTTGACTGGTTTTCATGGATTGTAATATATTCCCAATGAATTCCAAGGGGTTAGAGCGACATTTTGATTTCCTCTTCAGAAGAAATTTCTGAACATAAGCTATTTTTAAACAAAAATTTAGCAACTGTACATATTTACAACTTTGCCAAGAGAGGAGCAAAAAAAATTTTTTTTTTCACGAAAAAATCAATTGCTTTATTTTCAAACTGATTGAATTGATAGTAATTTCTTCAATTAATTAAACCTTCGCAATTAGGAGTTTTTAATCCAAATTAGGACGTTTTTCGGAAAAAAAACATAATTCCAATCAAACGAAATTCACAATATTGCGTTTTAAAAAATAAAGGCAGAAACAGTGATTTTAAAGGAAAACATTCTTTTTGACAAGAAATTACCACCAAAGGTCAAATCAAAAACATCACTTAACAGTCTTGGAGCATCAAAGATAGACTCCAAGGAAGTGACTGAAAAACAGTATCTTTTGTGTCGAAATTTTTAAGTGCATTTGATTCAAAGTAATCAAACAACAATTGAAATAGAAATATTAAGAGTAGTATGGGCAGTTGAACTTTGTAAAAACTACTAATACGGCTCCAGTCTTAAGATTATTACTGACCATTAGATCCTTTCCACCTGCCTACAAAACCTAGTAATGAAACAAACTATAGAGGATGAACACGCTGGTTAGATAGACTTTTACCAAATGTTTTTGTCGGATAAAAAAACAGAACTTATAGAACTAAACCAAGAGATTGACTTAAACTTTGCAGATTTTTAGAGTTATTTTGGGACACAAAACATTACCTTTTCTTTTGTATAGATCGTTCTTTAAAGTTCCTCTCCGCAAAAACTACTTAAAATAATTTTTACAACACAGTTATAGATTAGTTCTAGATCACATTCAATTTCATGTATGCCACAGTCAATTAATGTAAACCAAGCTTTTTTCTTTGCTAGCAAAGAATTTAATTTATTTTGTGGCACAATTAAAATCAAACTAATAAACTGTTTTGTTGGTGATCATAGATCCAACGGATTAGTAGAAAAAAAAACGTAAATACTGTAAAAACGAAATTTCTCGCAGTCTTCAGAACTTACTTTAGCTATCCTCAAATTTTTCTCATTTTTTGGAAGTTTCTTTTAAAATTTCAGTAAGCAATCACATGTCATCCTTTCAAAAAAAATTTTGAAGAAAAACGAACACTATATAAAAATTCTCAGCTCCAGGTAATTTAATTGATTCTCTAGGCAAGAGAAACCAATCATCTCTAAGGATAGAGAGTTAAACTGGGTAACAGACGACGGGATTGAAAACGGATAGACCGATGAACCTCTACCACAGAAAAATTGCAATCCGACGGATAAAGTTTACGTTTCAGAGAAACAAACAAAAGCAGCGGGAAACTAAAGGTCACGTTACGTTGACCTTACCGCTGAAATAGTAAATTACTCAAAAATTACAATTAAACTGACCGGAGCAAAAATTATCCAAAAAACTGATATGATCCTAAGCAAAACAGGCTCGTTAAAACCGCGCAACTTTCGAAGTATTGATTCATTTCCCTTTTACGCTAACACAATGTCGCAATACGTAAGAGAGGACAGAAAAAGAATCCGACTATATCGTTTTAGACGACCAGCAGAAAACCAAACAGTGTCATCCCTCGGACAGCTCTAATATCCAGGGTTCTTCTTCCACACCAGCCTTCAAAGGAAAACCACAAGCCAAAACTAAAGCTCAGACCGAACTCACAACTTGTCCACAAATACTCAGAGCCGGATAATATTGACTTAAGTTATAATATGCTGAGATTAAGCCTGAGATATTAGCTAAACCATAGACGATTAAATGCCAAATCTGCATCATACCAGCTGGTTTCAATGGAAACAACATTCAAACTTCACTCAAAACACGAAAAAAGTACAAATCGAAAACACTCTGGGAGTGAACCGACGGAGAGATGCTCTTATTCCAGGTTGTGGATTCCTCGAACTACCCACCTCTCATCGATTTACGTAGATCTCCACGAAATGCTGGCCGGCTAGAGATGTTTGGTAATAGGTACTTTATAAAAGTTGAAGATCAAATCGGAAGTACTAACAACTCAATCAAAGTTGACCAATCTACAGACACCTCTGCTTCTGTCAAATGAATCTGCCGCCTTATTACAAAAGGAATGTGCCGCTTTATTTTTACATTTTAACAATATTACTCCAGCGTATGTTGACAACTATTTGACTATCGAACCAGTAGACACCCCACACAACCCGATCGCTACTCCTATAAATCAACCATTGACAGAATTGCTCGACATCGATGACGCAATTTCAGGCATATCCACAACTCATTCTTCAAGAGAAGAATTGGCGCAATTTGACACCCTTTCAGACTTCCGTTGTTTTACATTCGAACTCCGTGAGTTTTTGCGTGGAATAAAACTTAACCTAAAGACCTTCAATTTGTTAACTTTTTGTTTGATTCATTACGGTTGCTACAGTGCTGATTTAAATTAACCTTACAAAATCGAATTTTCAAACGCATTTTTCTCAGATTGAATTAAGATTAGACAAAAAATGAACAGAACAAAAAGTGCTTAGATTTTCACCAGAATTAATAGGGTGCAATTTTTCTCCAAAATTCTCAACCAAAATTTTACCTAAAAATGGGTAATTTTGGCTTTTTCAATTAATCAAAAATTACGCTGAAACTATTTTGTTAATTGATGAAAAATATATATCACAAGAAAACTCTTATACAGTCCAACAGAGTTCCAGAAAAGTTGAATCTCCAAAAAATTGAGTAAATTGTTTAAAATTTGTTTTTAAGCAAAGATTTTGGGTTTTGTATAGTGAAAAATCACGTTTCTTGACTATCACGGAAAAATATTTTCTCCTATATAGGTTTTTGGAGATTTACCCTTGTAGAACTTTGTTGGGCTGTGTAAGAGGCTTCTTATGATTTTTATTTCTCATCAATTAACAAAATAGTTTCAGCGTTTTTTTGATTAACTGAAAAAAGCCAAAATTACCCATTTTTTTGGTTAAGATTTTTGGAGAAAAAAATGCTCTTTATTATTTCTGGTGAAAGTTCAAGCAATTTTTGTTCTCTTCCGTTTTTGTCTAATTTTAACCCAATTTGAGAAAAATGCGTTTGAAATTCCAAAAGTTATTCGTTTTGTCCGGTTAGCTTATGCACTGTGCAGAACTGTACAATCTTAAAAGTTGCTTTTTTCAATTTCATAAATCATGCTTATTCAGGGTGGCGTCCCTCATGCTTGAAGGACCGAATGATTGAAATTAGGGGAGGGTTCTCATGCTTGAAAGACCGAATGCTTAAAAAATTTCAACCAATCAAAATCGCTAACCGTTTTTATTGGCTAAATGCCTTTCTCACAAAATCGAAGTCAATATTAACAAAAAATGTATTAAATCAGTAGAAAATTATCAAAATTATTACAAATTGCGGGTTACAACCGTAATACTATTCAGATAATCATCAAGATTAATGAGTTCAAAATAATAAGAATTTTTCATATCAGCTTATTATCTAATCGGTCAATATTAACACTAATGGCCTGGATTTATTTTCTTACTTTGAGATTTTCGCGATTTGTTTCGAGATTTTGAATACTCAATTCTGATTGGCTGAAAGTAAACTAAAATTAATTTCAAGCAATTGGTCCTTCAAGCATGAGGGACGCCACCTTGAAGTTAATTTTAGCTTACTTTCAGCCAATCAAAATCGCAGGTAAATCTCGAAAATCTCAAAGAAAGAAAATAAATCCAGGCCTATAGTGTTACTATTGACCGATTAGATAATAAACAGATGAGTTTTCAAGACTGAAAAGTTCCTATGACTTTGACCTCATTAATCTTGATGATTATCTGAATAGTATTGCGCTTGTAACCCGCAATTTATAATATCCCGGGATGACCAAAAATACTAGTCATACAATTTCCATATATGAAAAAATACAAGTCATACACTTTCCATACAATTCCTTACGTACAGAAAATTGCATGAAAGGTCTATGATTAGTACTTTTTCATATATGGAAATTGTATGACTAGCATTTTTCCATAAACCAAAAATATTGCTTTTTTACATTTTCATTTCCCAAAACTTTTTGGTTGTTCGTAACCGAACACAAATGACATAAACCTTGATTACTCAAACGTAGTAACCAACGGTTTGGCCGTTTCGCATTAAAAATGCATTGGAAACAGCCTGATTTGTGTTACTTCTGTCTCAGACAAATAATATAACGAAAGTAATGAACCTTTAAATTTTGGCAATAGTTTTCAAAGATGATTATTTCTAAAATTTGATTTTTTAAATTACCAGACATTGATCAAGGCATACAAAAACATGTCATACAAAAGAAAGAGGAGTTTTGCGTTTTTGAAAAAAGTTATGAAGAGAAAAGGAAAAAAATCCAATATTAGTATATCCAGGACTACGTTATACACACAAAAAATTAAATTTTGCATGCAAACTTTTTTTTTCAAAAAATGTTTGTTTGAATACGAAAATCAATTTGCGGTTGAAAAAAAACACAAAAAAATTTCAATTTCAAAAATACTTAGAAAAATTTTTGTCGTCGCCATCAAAAAAAATGCTAGTCATACAATTTCCATATATGGAAATTGTATGACTGGTGTTTTTTTTCAGAAAACAAAAACAAAAAAAGTCAAAGTTTTCAGTCGTAGCAGCCCAAAAAACACTTAAATTATTTGCCAGCAGTTGAATTGATTGTTCAAAGCTTTTTTTTCACAATTTTTTTTTTAATTCTTATCATACAATTTCCATATATGGAAATTGCATGGTTAGCATTTTTTTTCATACCATTTTTTTTCCTTTTTTTATGAAGAGATACCAATTTCGATACCAAATTAACTATAAAATACCTTTGAAATTCGACTAAACTCATTTTGCAGAAATGTATGAAATTTGTATGACTAGCATTTTTCCATAGACTAAGTGTATTAAATTGTATGATTAGCATTTTCGGTCTATGGAGCTCAACCCGGGATGTTTGATTATCTTCCACAGATTTAACACATTTTCAGTTAATATTGGCTTCGATTTTGTGAGAAAGGCATTTAGCCAATGGAAACGCTTAGCGATTTTGATGGGTTGAAATTTTTCAAGCATTCGGTCCTTGAAGCATGAGAACCCTCCATCTTATTCAGCACATCGCTTAATTACTATTTTATTCCGTCCGAATGATCTTGAACACTAATTTTAATTGTATTTTTTTACGCAATGCTCGTTAGTGACTGAATTTAGACAGTTGATACTGTTATATTTTCGTTCCTCGTTCTCGCCTGAGGTTACGAATTTGCATTGGTCTGATTTTTGAATTACTTATTTAATTAGTCTTTTAGCATGTATTTATCTCACCTTTCACCTAAACGAGGCCTTGGGAGTGAATGTCCTCACTTTTTATTTATTGTTTTAACAACTAAGTAACTCACTTATTTTAACTTATTCCTAACCTGCTTTCAAATAGTTTAGTTTTAGCATTAGATTTTTTTATCACGGTGAGTTGAAAACCGTGAATCGTTGAATTTTTGGTCGAATCGTGACTCGACCACTTCAACCCGGGTTGCTTCAAGGTTACTTCATTGAAAAAAATGTTTCCAAAACTGACCTCAAAAGTGGGTTCGCGTTCGCTTTATTCACAACATCGTTGTCACTTAATCCGCTAACAGTTGTACTGTCCCAGTTCCAGGCTGCCAGGAATGAAGCCTGTAGACAGTAGGGTCCAGCCTTGTAGCAGATGCCACTGTAAGTTTCATCCAGACTACTGTTTATGGACACAGACACAGCCTATAATTAAATTATACTCAACAAGGTAAAATTAACTAGCAGTTTGGCTCCAGAGGAACCACGACATCTATCCAGCCGTCTCTTTAATTCACCGTCACAAAAGATTATTGCAAAAGAGAACAAAGCAAAGATGTTCAATAACGTGGAAAGCATGGGACAGAAATTGAAAAGGATAGACGAGCCAAAATTTAATCATGGTCTTCAAAAATCATGTCAAAAGTAGACCAATTGGAGACTAAATAATAGAAACCTTGATATTCTGGTCCAGCTGGAGCGCCTTCTGCATGATATCCGCCGTGAGGACATTACTGGACACTATCAGTGCCTGTGAGACCCGGAGCAGTGCAGGAAACCATACGGAGGAAGCGTCTCTGTCATCGATGGCCCTACAAATTCAAACCCAGTCACAAAAAAATCAATTTTTTCTCTTATAAGCATTTCAATGCATAGTAGGCACACCACTGATTATGAAACTCTAAGAGGAAGAAGCTCTAAGACCATGAAAACCGGTCAAGAAAAAACGCGAAAGAAAATAATTACGAAATTGAGCTGCTAAATAAGGTTATTAAAAAGCAGATTTAAAATTAATTTTTCCTTATTGGTATTCTTGATAGTATAATAAACGTATTTGCTTTCTAGTTACTAGCTAAATTTTTGGAAACAAGTATGGCGGAAAGTGAGCAACAAAATCAACTTTGCGGTGACGGTTCAAAAACGAATTTTGTAACACACCTGGAATCCTGTGGCACCCATAGTTTGGCGGCGTCTGTCTCCTCGTACCAGAAGTAATATCCAGGCAGGGGCAGGAGGAAGAAAGCCAGACCAATTAGAATTGCCGCCCAGGGATGCTTACCATTGAATACGCCAACCCTAAACGGCATCACTGAATATCTTTTCAAACCTCATTTTTTCTAAACCTTTATTTTCCACTGCACTCCTTCCATCCCATTTCTCACAATTGTCTCTGCATATTGTGAATAATTTAGAATAATCGGATTACAAAAGGCATGTTATAAACTAATCTCAAAATCATGAACATAACGAATTTTTCTTCGAAGTGCGAGCTTGCAAATTTAAATTATTTTTTATTTTCACTGCAATTATTTTTTTGATTGTGTTTAGCTTTATTTTCAATCTTTTGAAACTAAATTTTTGATGAATTTTTAGGAATAACAATTTTAAAACAATTTACTTGAAAAAGAAGGCTTCGATTTTGCTCGTTATGAAGTTGCTGCAATTTTCTAAGCAGGCGCAATTGCATGCATTGCACGAGTCATCCACTTCGTCTTCGTTCTCTGCGCTTTTTTCAGCTTCCGTTGCTTTTCCATTTAAAACCGAATGACCATTTTGGTTTAATGGTTTGTTTTCATTCGCTGATTTGTTTTGGCGCGATGGAGGATCTGCTGTCTGGTCCTCCCGAGGAGTTTGGGACGAGGGAGATTCTGCTTTCTGTTCCTCCCGAGGAGTTTGGTTCGAATCCACCTCGGGCCAGCCATTCTCATCGGTAGGAGTATTAGACATTATAAAGCACTGGGTAAGATTTGATCACCTAATAAATTTTACCGTGTAAATGAAAAGAAAACGTTAAAACGCGAAGTTTTCTAGTTTAATTACTTGAGTATTGTTGGTTCAGTTTGGTTTATTAAATCTCCGAAGCTTTTAACCATAGTTTCTAATTTTAACAACAAACACGCATTTAAAAATACCATTTGATTAGTTTACGCATATCTATACATATGATCGCGTTTAGTTAAATAATTAACTAAACCTTTGATTAATTGATTAACACACAATTTGAAGCTGGCTTGAATACAGCTGAGACTTGTTTGAATCTTGAATCTAGCTCGAAAAAAACGTACCTGTGTACAGAAAAAAAATTACGTGTATAGTAAATGCCAGACTCTTGATTCTACCGCACATAAAACGATACCATTTGTCAAAAAGATGCATCAGCTCTGAGTGCGTTTTTTTGCTCTCTAATTTTTCATATAAAAAGACAATAAAGCAAATTTTGTTTGCATGTATAAAGAAATAGATACTGGTTTTGCTTACCACTACTCGAACTCACCTAGCTAAATAACAGCCAGCCAAGCATATTTTTTACCTAGTGCAAGCAAACCAAAGATTTTACTGCCAAAACAGAGAAAAACTCAATGCATACCTGTTGTTTTTCACATGTTTGGCTGATCAAAGTCTTTTTGTTGCCAAAGATTAGATGAGCCCAATCAAAATAGCAATTTCCAAAATAACGGGCAAAATATTTGAGTTTTACAGGACGCTAATCTTCAGTTCCGAAAGCAGGAAGGACAAAAAAGGTTCCGAAAAAAATCGTTTTGTTCCTGATGATAAAAGAATCAAAGCATTTGAAGTTAGTTCCCCGCGGAGCAAATGGACAAAAAGCTTTTGTAACTCTAAACCATTTATTAAAAGATTAAACTGTCAAATGCTACCGCAAGTGTAATTTAATAAGCTTCCTCAGATTAAGAAAAACCAAGTAATCAGTTTCGAATCTCAAACGATAAAAAGCGGACTCTACTCTCATAAAACTAGGAAAAATCTTCTCTTTCCTCTTTTTCGTTTTTTTTTACAACACCGTTTAATTTGAAATGAGCGTAAGAGGAAATAAAAACACGCGTGGAGTAATTCCAAAGTCTTATTTGAAAACGGTTTGGTATGTTTGCTGCAAACCAACAAAAAGAAAAAAAGAAACGTCTAAAAATTCGTTTCCATAGCCTCAGTTTGCCATATGTTTACAATAACTTATTCACTACCAAGCTCACAGTGTTAATGATTATCCAAACACAATATCCATAATGGCCTTTTTTGAAATAATAGTCAATATCTGACGTCGACGTCACAAAAAAGAGATGAAAGGCGCCATTTGTTTTGCTTTGCTGAAAGTGCCTATTTTATTATGGCTCGAACACAACAAAATTAACCTGGATCTGTCTGGAAATGATTGATCAAGACAAAGTCTGGAATATGTGCAGATGTGAATATAGGAAGCTCTGTCTCCTAACCAAAACACTATAAAGACAATATGACTCTTTTTCCTCCTGGCTAGCAAACAATTAAAGAAAAATTTTGTCGCTTTTAACTTTAAAACTCAATTTCGTTTAAAAAGCAAAAACTTCAAACCGTTTTTAAACAACTGAAGAAACTTTTGGGTAATCACATTTAAAGCGTTCAACTATGATGTTTTTCGACCCCATCTGACGTTTTTTGCTGAAGGAATATTGAAATTCAAAATCACCTCCCATTTTGTGGTTGGAACAGCAAGATAGTTCAGAAAACCGAGACATGTCAAGTTTTAACTGAGCAGTGGGAAAAATACTCGTTTGAACAGGAACGGGCAGATTTTTTTCGGTCGAGAACTTCAAAACAGATGAAACGTACCCGATTATGGTCGGGCAACATAGTTAGGACATGCCAAATTTTGGTCAAACTAATCGAAACATTAAAGTTGGGCTGAGCAAACTCGAACAAACTGTTCCTCGGCCAAGACAGTCAAATTATACTGATAAATCATCCGAATAACAAAATTCTGAATGTTTTTCAATTTATGAGATATGCTTGATATTTTTTGTTTCAAATGAAAAACTAATACAGTTTTTTCTCAAAGAAAACTGTCTCAATAAACTAGCCTTTGTTCGCCTCTAGAATCAGTGTTAAGGTAAAATTAACTGTTATTGCAACGCGAAGCCGACGATGGACCAATGAGTTTGTCACTTGAACCAAGAGAGAACCAATTTTTTAATAAAAAAAATTTCACACGCATCAGAACCGAATCTACAGTAGATAGAAAAAATATCGAGAGTTGCAAAAAATTATACACACTAGTTTCCGAAAAAGACAAATGCTTCGCTTTAAAATAACTTGTATACAATTTCCAGTTTATCAAGTTTATCAGACAAAAAAGCCACCTAAAACTGGGTAGGATCTGATACAAGGGCGGATATAGGATCTTTTCGAGGGACGCGGATTTTCAAAAAAATATCCAAAATTTTGTCGACATTTGTTTTAGGTCGACCAAATTGATTTTCTGAGCTCTTATAAATCACTATAAAGACCCCATTTTGACCAGGCCAAATTTAGAGAGCTTCGACGCCTAAGTATGGTATTTTTCATGAACCAAAACTCGCGTTTGCTTTTTTGCAATCTGTTTTTTTTTTTTTTAAATTTTCATGGCAGATGTTTTTTGAAAAAGAAAAATTTGAAAAATGGTCTTGAGCTTAATCAAAAATTGACGTCTCTAATTTACTGTGCTGATTCAATTTATTTCGACGAAACCAACAAAATTTGAAACTTCCAACACATTGTTTTAAAATTGGGTTGAGATTAGACAAAAACAGACGATAACAAAATTTCACTAGTAGAAGTAGTTCACTAAAAAAATTTTTGATAGAGCTTCCAAAACTCAGATCCAAAACTGTACCCCAAAAAAGGTTCATTTTGGCTTGTTTAAGTTAATCAAGATTTGCGCGAAAACTAACTAAAAATTTGACGAGAAAAATTTCTCAAAAGAAATCTTTTACTTTTTACAAATTTCTAAAATCAGAATAGATGAATATTACTTTGCTTGATAGCCAATTTTTTTTTTGAAATATAAAAAACCCAAAATCTTTAAAAACGATTTTCAAACGTTTTGCGCAAAGTTTGAAGGCTTCATTTTTATAAAATTTCGTTAAGCTGTGTAAGAGGTTTCTTTTGACTTGAGTTTCTTTTCAATTGGTTGTTGTTCCAGAGTAATTCTTGATTACCAACAAAATGACCCAATTTTGTGATAAAATTTTGTTGCGAGTTTTGAAAATCAAATTGCACCATAATATTTTCGAAGAAATTTTTACAACTTTTGTTCTCTTCACTTTTTGTCAATTTTATCCCAATATGAGAGAAACGCATTCAAAACTTTTAATGTTAATTGTTTTTTCCGGTAATTTTAGACCAGCAGTGTAGCTTTTAACAAAAATATCGGACAACGTATTAAATTAATGAAATAGTTCTGACCTTCAAATTTAATTTAAATCAAAAAAAGTTTTTTGAAGTTTCGCGTTCGCCATTTTGTAGGCTTTTTTGAGTTTTTGCTCTCAAAAATGTATAGCAAAGCTTTTTTTTATGACAAAATTGTCCAATTGTGCTCATGAAACAAGGAAATAATGAAATTCTCCAAAAAATTGCAATCAATTTGTTTTGCTCTTTTTGTCAATTCAAATGCAGTTGTGAAAATTCGATTTCAGTTTTTACGCTATTTCACTGTCTCAAAGTCAGAATTATTTCAGATTTAAGACGTTGTCAAAGAAAATTGTTAAAAGCTATGTCGGACAACGTGTTAATCTTCTGAAACAATTTCGATTTTCAAGATGAAACTTATTAAAATAAAGAGAGTTTCAGAAAGTACAGTGCTGATTTAAATTATCCGGACAAAAACGATCAAAACTTTTCTCAATTTGATTTAAAATTAGACAATAAGTGAACGAACACAACTTGCTTAGCATTTCACTAGAATTAATATAGTGCAATTTTTTCTCCAAAATTCTCAACCAAAACTTGAACCCAAAAATGGGTCATTTTGGCTTTTTTCAATTAATCAAGAATTACTATATAAAACCCAAAATCTTTGATGAAAAAAAAAATTTTAAACAATTTATTCAAATTTTTGGAGATTTAACCTTGCTGAAATTTTGTTGGGCTGTGTATGAGGCTTCTTATGATATATATTTCTCATCAATTAACAAAGTAGTTGCAGCGTAATTCTTGATTATTTGAAAAAAACCAAAATGGTCCATTTTTGGGGTAAAACTTTGGTTGAGAATTTTGGAGAAAAAATTGCACCATATTGATTCTGGTGAAGTTCTAAGCAACTTTTGCTTGTTTTCTTCACTTAATGTCTAATTTTAACCCAAATTGAGAAAAACACGTTTGAAAATTCAAGTGCAAAAAAATTTTGCAAAAAAAGTTGCACTAAATTAATGTTACTGAAACTCCAAGCAAATTTTGTTTTCACCATTTTTTGTCTTCACATTTTTTGTCTATTTTGAAAAAAACGTGTTTTTAGTTTCAAGTTTTATTCGTTTTGTCCAGATAATTTAAATTAGCACTGCATAATTCTCTGCTTACGCATTGAAAAGCAGAAAGACGTTTTTTCAAATGTCAAATGAGCAAATTTTTGAACTAGTAAATTTTCAGAACCGCCTGTTTAAATTGATATCACTACACTTTGGAATTAACTAATGCAAAATGAGTAATTCAACCCTTCTTCCTTTTATTGTTAAGCACTCAGCGTTTGCCTAATCGTAGTTTTTTAAAATTAATGTGTTGTCTTTTATGGTTAAAAATTTTGGACATTTGGAATTCATGGATCTTGTATTTTACCTGGAAAGAACGGTCTAAAAGTCTTCCAATGAACATGCATAACAAAATTTAAAAAAATTGTTTTATGCTTTAATTTATCCGCAAGCAAGAGCTTCCTTTATTGTGTAGGTCATGCATTTTTTTTCTTCAACTTTTGAGATCTATTCAGCAGCTATCACTTCACTGTCAAAAAGGAAGATATTGATCATAAAAGGTTGAACAAGACTGCTCTCGTATCAGAGCGAAGCCCTGAATGTTCCGACTGTCTTTTAAGTTTTATGGAGCAGTAATAACATAAAAAAATTAAATGAAATAAAATAAAATGAAAAGTTTTTTTTCTAAAATTTGAAATTTTTTAAATGAAAATCATCACCCCCCACACGCCATATAAAGTACAAAAGGATAGATTTCGTTCCTTGAAACAAATCAATTAAGGCAAATAAGCTTCGTTCAACCAATTTGGAACGATTTCTAAGACGGATTAAAACTTCGCTTACGCGTTAATAGAGCGAAATATATCGCGCGTTAATTGTCCCAAATTGGTCAAAATGGCCAAAATGGCAATCTTTAAACCCTCATAGCCTCACGAAAAAAGATCACAGGTGAAATATCTTTTCAAATTTAAGCTCAAGGCAACAATACCTTTTGAATGATATATAAAAATTCCGTCAAAAATGGCTAGTTAAAAAGTCAAAATTTGTCTGAAGAAAAAAAAACCCACCCCGAGCACAAATATTCCGTTACTTTCGTATCAAAAGTCGGAACGATAATTATTCAGCTCACCGTCAAAATTGAGATCCTGGTAGGTTTGATAAACATCTGGACAAAATTAAACACAAAATTGGATTTTTATTTCCTTAACTGCTTGTTTCCAATGTACATTTTGGACAATATTTCCTTCGAAATTCAGTAAATTATTTAATTTGACCGAGAGCAAATGACCAGAGCTGCCATTTGTGAAAGTATCAAAAACTTATTTCAATTACTTACCAATGTAATCCGGGTCTGAAAATTCCAGTTTTTTTAATCTTTTTTCCTTAAATTTTTAGCGCTACGGGCAAATTTCTTGAAAAAAACGGTCAAATTGCCATTTTTGGGCCCTCTTTGGAAAATTACTGCACATTGGCCGCCCCTGCATGAACGTGTTCAAACAAGTTTTGCAGAAAGTTTCAAAAAGTAGAGTCATTACTTACAAAATTTAATCAATTTTCATGGATTTTATGTACAAAAAAAACATTATATTGAAAACAAAAATGGATTTTAATCGATTAAAATGGATTTTTATTTTTTAAAATAATCGATTAAACTGGATTAAAAATCAATTACGTTTTCGAA